TCGAAGTTCAATTATTCAATATATTGAATAGTCGAAGTTCAATTATTGAATAGTTGAAGTTCAATTATTCAATATATTGTATAGTTGAAGTTCATTTATTCAATGTATCGAATAGTTGAAGTTGAATTATTCAATGTATTGAATAGCTGAAGTTGAATTATTCAATGTATTGAATAGTCGAAGTTTATTTATTGAATAGTTGAAGTTCATTTATTGAATGTATCGAATAGTTGTAGTTCAATTATTCAACGTATTGAATAGTTGAAGTTCAATTATTGACTATACTATATTTTAAGGTGAAATGAAACTAAAGATTTACGGGAGTAATACTTTATTAAATACAGCAAAAATGAGAGTTTTACAAGAAAACTAGAATTTTATTAGAAAATATTTTGAATTGTGCTTTACTTTTGTGTTCTTATTCTTATTGTTTATCTATAAGTACTTGATGTTTCGGTCTTCAATCGACCATTTTGAAAAGTTGATGTTGATGTTGGTATTGGCATAGTAGAATATTTGTTGCACAATTACTATGCGTTGAACTCTATTATGATTTTGTTTCTTTGTACATTTTCTAATTTACCATTCACTTACCTTTCCTTCAATACTATGAAAATGTACCTAATCTATCTATACTATTAACAAATGTGATTTATATAGCAACATATATATTCAATGTATCGATTTCAGATTTAATCTTAGTTAAATACTATAATACTAACAATCAAAACAACTGACTATGTATGTATAGCAGTATAATGTTTCACCGGTGAGCCGTAGTTATTGTGTAATAATGTACAAAGAAACAAAATTATTCAATGCATAGTAGTTGTGCAACAAATATCTTACTATGCCAATACCAACATCAACATCAACTTTTCAAAATGGTCGATTGAAGACCGAAATATCAAGTACTTATAGATAAACAATAAGAATAAGAACACAAAAGTAAAGCACAATTCTAAATATTTCCTTATAAAATTCTAGTGTTCTTGTAAAACTCTCATTTTTGCTGTATTTAATAAAGTATTATTCCCGTAAATCTTCAATTATTGAATAGTTGAAGTTCAATTATTCAATGTGTTGAACAGTTGAATTCAAGTTTCAACTTTGCCATTTATGGTCAACTGATGTGTATACTCAGTTTGGGACTCGGAAAAGTCGAAAAAAAGAACGATATAACTTTAAAATTTTGAATCTAGCCTTGAGAAACGAAATAAGTAAAATTCCACACGAACTAGTACTACGAGGAAGTAAAGAATAAAAAGTACTAGGACACTGAAAGTAATACGAAGCACTGTGCCAGTGTAAGTAATAAAAATTACTATGAAAGTGTAAGTAACGCAAACACAGCACTTATCTTTTGCTTGCTAGATTTCCAATACTTATCACCAAAAACTGAAATTATCAACAATGTTCGTCGCATTTATACCGCCAACTCTTACGTTTCTCTTGCTCGTATTTTCTCTCATTTTCTCCCTGTATAATTTTCAGTCTATCGCCTCGTAATTTCTCTTTCTTTCTCTCTCCCTTATGCTCCCACTTCTCTCTCCTATATCCTTTCTCTCGCTCGGCTATCTTTCTCTCTTTTCTTCGCTCTCTACTCGTTCTCTCCCTCTTTCTTCGCTTGATTTTTTCTCTCCCTGATCTTGAATCGACCAATCAAAACACGAGACTTTTTGAATAAGCCTTCTGCCGAGTGGAATACGATAAGATAAAGATCACGAAAAATGCTCATACTCATCTATGATGCACAGCTCGACATGGTAGAATTTGAACAATAATGAATAATTGGGATCAAATCTGGACTTTGGCTTTTAAGCTATTTTTATATGAAAGCAGCAAAAATTTGAATTATAATCCATAACCACCAAAAAAATTTTGGCTACCGCTACTTTGGCTAGTTCTATATAACATGAGCCAAAATTTGCATTATAATTTATAAATGGGATACAATTTTTGCCTTGGCTTTTTGCGCTAGTTTTATGAAAATTCCCTAAAACTTGGATTAGGATTTATCAACATGCCAGAATTCTCTCTTGCACTTTTTCGGCTAGTCTGACCTAAAAACAGCCAAAATTTCTATTATAATTTATAACTGGAATCAAACTTTCGCTTTAGCTTTTTAGGGTATTATTAATATGAAAAATTAGCCAAAATCTGATATGTAAATGAAATTGCCCGCCATTCGAGTAAATCCTGCCCCAATTCTCCTAGGAACTTATTTCAAGGTTCCTATTCTTGTTCCAAGTACAGCTTGATAAGCTCTATCTAATAGTATAAGTTAATTAATGGTAGCGCAAACCATGCGGTCAAAAACTCCAAAAAAGCAGTTTTTTCACATTCAGACCCATGGGTCTAGTTAAGTAAATCCTTCCCCAATTCGCTCAAGAACTTGGTCCAAGACTCTTATTCTTGCTGCAAGTACAACTTGATGAGCTCTATCTGATGGCATAATTGGATTTTTTACAACTCAAACTATGTGGTCAAAAAATCCAAAATACTGATTTTTTACCCTATGAGTCATCGACTCTATAGCGTAGATCCAGCCCCAATTTGTCCAAGAACTTGTTTCAAAGCTCCTATTTTTGTTCCAAGTAGAGCTTGAGGGTGTGGGTGTGGGTGGGTGTGGGTGGATGTGGGTGTGGGTGTGTTACAAAATAGAGTGATTCAAAGCATCATACGACGCGTTTCGATTGGAGCTTATCCCAGTCATCATCAGGTACGTTCTGAATCAAATACTACATGGATATATAATTTAGAAGATAAATTTCAAAACCTATATATCGAAATAATACTATGTGGAAGTCAGAAAAAGACTAACAGCAAGTAAATGTTTCAGAGAAATATGAAATAAAAATGTTTGAATCATATATAAGACATAGTTATTCTTCAGTAAATGGTGTGTTCACATAAGAATATAAAATTCCAAGCATCATACAACGGGTTTCGAATTTGGGAAGCAGTGTGGATATTGATGATTGTTGTTTTTGAAGGTGAGGTCGGTTGTCTACGAGTTGAAGAATTATATATGCTTATGAAGATTGATATGTAGAAGTTTGGTTACTTACTATTCGACCCTTTTTTTGCGAAGTGATTGCATTGTAATGTTTTTGTTTTGTCCTCATTTCGTTTGGTGGAGCTATCTGTAGGTGAGTGTTGGTTGAAATTGGTGGGGATCACTGTTGAGAATAGTCTTTGGCATGGCTCATGGTTTGTTCAAGGAAGTAATCGTTTTTTCTGAATTTTTTTTGCGTATTTCTTGTATTTCTCTGTAGATGACTTTGGTTTGTTTCTGTTATTTGTTGTTTTTTTGTGTAGGGGATGTGGGTCGTCTAGAATAGAGCAATTTGAAGATGGATTATTAGTACCAATTTGTGGGTTAATGTTTGAAGCTTTTTTGAGAGAGTTGAGTTTGGTTAGTTTTGATTTATTTATTTTTGGAAATAACAAAGAGATATTACAAAAATATGTGTTTTTACGAAAGAAACATGTTTATTGTTTTGATTATGGGATTTAAAGTTTTGTTGTTAGTCTACTGGCATTGGTGCCTATGAGTCTTCTCGGTGGGTCAAAATTGCTTTTGGTGGCTTTTTATGGATGAAGAATTTTTCAAGTGTCGCGTTGGTAGTAGTTACTGGTTGAACTTTAATTTTTTCCAAAGTTGAGCCGTTGTATGCATAGTGAGTTCGCCACCACTGTGTAAATCTTTTTCGAAAAGCGATAGATGTAGAACTGTCGAAGAGATAATGCGGGTACATGATATTTGGATCCCATATCTTCTGTTGCAATACTGTAGGTGATCGAATCGGATCTTGTGTCATAGTGTGAAGTTGCTTTTCACGTCGTGTCGATTGATACAATAGTTGTTGATGTAGGTGACTGTATGCTTGAGAATTCAATTCATTTAGAACTGGCATGGTACTGTTTACTTGGAAGAATCGATTGAATTGATTTCTAATGAAATTTGGTGGATAATTATTTAATAATAGTGACATATTAATACGAATGCATTCCCTGTTGAAGTTGTGTACATCGGAACAAATTCGAGCAGCACGTAATAAAGCAGCAAATGGTATATTACGATGAACATGTCGTGGATGATCGGATGTGTATGGTAATATATAAGGTTCAGTTATTATTTTGTGATAAAGAGATGTTTTTAATTGACCGTTTTCATTTGTTATAGTAACATCCAAAAAATTAACTGATATATCAATTTCATAGTGAATTTTAATATTAATATCTTTATTGGCAGCTTTTTCGAGTTCGGTTTGAATTTCATCTATGGTTTGGTTAGTTATCATGAATATATCATCGATGTATCTACGAAAGACATATGTTAGTTTAGTTAACCTTTTTCATTTAGTAAGTGTTTAACAAACCTTCCATACATTCCTTTGTGTACTGTTTGATGTTTGATTAAATCTTGCTCCCATTCAAACATATAGATATTAGCCAATACTTGTGTAAATGCTGAGCGCATAGCACCACCACGAGTTTGTTGATAATATTTGTTGTTATAAGCAAAACAATTAGTATCTAATATTAAACGAGCCATTCTCATAATAGCATCAATGGATAATGTACCAATTTTTCCATGATGTGAATTCTTTTCTAAAAATCGCATCAATGTATGTAATGTACCTTCTCGAGGTATCATTGTATAGAGATCAGTCATATCAATTATAATAAATTTTGTTGTTGTCTGAAAATGAGCATCCAAAATATATTTTTCCAGTTTTCGTATCACATCAATGCCATTAATAAATGTCATTTCACGAGCAACATTCAAATATATAGGTGCTAATAGATCATTTAAAAATTTCGATACCAATGTTGTTGGTGCATGTATACAGGTAATAATAGGTCGTAATGGTGTACCAACCTAGATAGAAAGAAAAAGAATATAAATTATGTCTGTATCGATCCTAAATATATTTACTTTATGTGGTTTCGGTAGGCCATGATAATGACCAAGTTCCAATTTGTTTAATTTTGGAGATATTTTACTATATTGTTGGAAGCTGAGAGCTTTCTGTGCTACAAGACTAGAGAGTAATGTTTGTACAGCATATAACATATCTGATAGAGGACAAGGACCACTTGTAATTTCTTGATAAGCTTTTGTTTTTAACATATATTCTTCAGATTTTCGTGCAAAATCAGTTGCTTTATCAATATAGAATACTTTGCTTTTATCTGTACGACGTATAACAATATCTGACCGGTCACGTAAAAGACGTCGAATACTTTGTACGATTTTGTATTCACGTTTTGCACGTTTTTCTAATTATCTGGATAGCTTTTTTGATTGTAATTCATGTAGGATACATTGTAATGCTTGAAAGGCTTCTTCTGCTCGTTTATTTGCAGTTGGTATTCGATGATCTTGAAGACAGTTTTTTACAGTTGTTGATAAACTTTGATATTGTTCAGATACAAGTTGTTCGATAGATTTAGAAGAAAATTGACTTTGACATGGTTTAACATATTTGAGACCATTGATAAACATAGACATTTGTTGTGGGCTTAAATTTATATCGACTTCGATAAATGGTAATGAAGCAGTAATTGTAGTATAAATTGACATGTTGCTCCGACGACTACAATACTGCTTCATTCGTGTAAAGTCGTCGGAGCTTCGTCGAAAAAAGTATGCAATTCATGTTTAAGATATAATTCATGACGTTTTTCCATTGCTTGTCGACGTTTTTCAACTGCTTGAATTAATAATTAACTGCAACACGGTGCCAATTTATTCTGTAGATCCATAAGTAGTTGTTGATGCCCACGTATTATGTTTTGAATAGTGTCAAGATGTAAAGCCATTAAATCAAATTTATATTGTGTAATTGTTTTTGAATAACTTGATACCAAACTAGCACGCGATCTTTATCAAGAACTTGATTTGAAAGCATCGGTTGGATATAGTTCATGGATTGATTAATCGTCGTAAGAAAATTCTTTTACGGAGAATTTCTTCTTGTGCTTTTGTTTTTAATATACTTGCTGTTGTTTGCCGTATTTATTTTGCTAGTTGTATCTAAAGTTGAAAAGTATATACAAGTGGAAACATCTAATATGCTGTTTAAACAAACCTGTTCTTCATTTGGTTTTAAGTCATAAAATTTTGTAATTAAATTACGATCATTTGAATCTAATGCTAACATTTTCTTTTTATAATCAAATTCTTGCCTTAATCGTTGTTGAGCACTTTTCACACATTCATTTATAGCATTGGATAAAATAGCTGGATGAATGTATGGCTGCCAATGTTTAACATTTTGTTCTGATTGTAATATATATTGTTGTAATTCATTTATTGTACTTTGAAATTGTTGTGTGATGGTTTTTAGACGTTGTTCAACTATATGTTTACGAAAACCATATGTATGACATGTATGATGTTGTTTAACAAAAGATTTTGATACTCGTGGTGCCCATTTATTTTCTTTTATGCCAAGATCAAAATAATCTTGCCAGAGTTGACGTTGTAAATCGAAATAATATAAATTATTTGTTGTTTCAGTCATTTGACGAACAAATTGAAGTTTTTCATTGGTATTTAAACATTGAACAATTTTATTACCATCTTCTATTGAATTTGATAACATTCGTTGAAATATTTTATCAGAAACTTTTAAATAACTTCGTTTAAATTTTTTGACATAGTTGATTGATAATAATTCCTTGTCTTCTTTTTGCTTTTTCTGTTGTTGTTGTTCTTTTTCATTAGCATCAGTGACTATATTCGATATTTCGTTATTCGATGAATTATTTCTCGTTATTGACTTTGTCTTTTTTAAATTTCTTTATGATATTGATAATTGACTGAAAGATCGGCTGATTTGTATGTCATCTTCATTAATTTCTTGCCGTTTACGTTTATTTTCTAATCCTGTTCTATGTTGATTGTGCTGTACGTTTTGCTAAATAGAATAAAGAAATACATATGGAGAAAGAATTCTTTCTGCTTTCAAAACAATTAGTGTACTTGAATTGGCTGTTCTTCACCATCTTCTTCTGGATTATCGTCAGTATCATCTATCACAATTAAAATATCTTGATTCGTATGACTTGTAGTAGTATTATTCTGTTTGTGTTGTTGACGGTGTAGTTTGCGTCGTTGATGTTGTTGTTTTCGATTACCATGGCATTTTTTCTTCTTTGCCAACGACCTTGAGTATCTTGTTATAAGCCATTGGGACGAACAATATTTGAAGGATCGTTGCTCTGAGCCATTCAATTATAATGTAAACAAAAAATAATAGATTTAAATCTAGAAAATAAAATGGAAACATATTTATGTTCAGATTCTTTCAAATATAATGATAATTTCATATGATATTATAAAAATAAAATAAAAAGAATAATAAAACATCACAAGTTTATCTCAATACAATATATCAATTCTATTATATATATATGATTCAACTTCAATGATCATCTGATGACTTTGAATACCAGTCGTTGGCTTTTTCATATATGACTATATCAACTCCTGGTAGTGCGAATGATGGAACAATGGCTGCTGTTGTTCTTCCTATTGTAGAAGATACATTTGTTGATATGATTGCATCTCAATCTATCAACGATGTGCATGATACATTGGTAGAAGTATCTTGAAGACTTGATATTTCTGATTGAGATGCAATAATCGAATTTTGTTCAGTATTCATATCTGTTTAAAGAGCTGAATCATAAGTATGCATGCATATTACAAATTAATTCATGTTTAAATATTTTACTTCTCTATTTAGCTCTTTTATCAATAGTGAATATAAGAGGATAATATACGTTGAAAATATCTTTGTTTGTGTGCAATGATATAACAATGTATCTAGAAAAAGAATAAATAACTATGAGAACTACAGAATATAATGAATATAGGTACAACAATAGAAGAAAGAAAATGACAAAAAATAGATAACATAAAGAAAAAAAAACGTTTTTATGGTTTGAACATCTACACTGTAGCCTAACATTATCACCAGAAGAAATATTATAATACATATGAAAAATATAAGTACAAATGTGATGAAATAGATCATTTCCCATTGTATCACTCTGTTGCTTGTGGCCATGGTAAATCAATAATGATAAGAGTATTCATTGGATTGTAATCATCTAAGTAATCTATGAAACCATCATTTTCTTCTTCTTTTTCTTCTACAATTTCTGATGTTGCCTGATTGTCTTGTTTTTGTAATGCTATTTCTTGTTCTTCTCGATACTCTTGTATTTCACGACCAACATTTGTTTGAGTATGCGAATTGGAATCATACACTTGTTGTTCAATCTGAAATGTCATGAATTTAAGAAGAAAGTATTCAATGAAATTACTTTTTTTTTCTCTATCTTATAAATCTATACTTTTTTTCATACTATTGTGATAAGGAGGGTGAGGGAATAGATTTATTTTCACTTTAGCAACGGATTGTGCATTTCTATATCTTCCCTAATAATCTCTTCCAATTTGATTTTATTTATATAGCTCCTAATATTGATCACCGATTTTGTCAACATCATCAGGCATCAATGGAATCATCAACTACAATGCGTCAGATAATTCATGAGGATAAAGAAACAACTCTAGATAGATTAGCATTAATTCAATACATTGATAAGGATAGCGGCTATAATGATGCTTTGTGCAATGTGTTCAGATCCGGAATCAATAATAAATCAAAGATAAGTTCATATGGATTTTTAGCTACTTTCTTAAATTGTTCAGTTATTGTTGGATTCACTGAGGAACCATGCTCAGAAGGAAGTGAGTATGAAGATTTTATCTATATTTTT